GCCCCTTTATAACTGTTTTTTAAATTTTTTAACTTGAGCTTTTGTGGATATGATCGCACTGCCAAATGATTTTTTTTTCACTCTGTACTGCACCTGAAGAAGTGGGTTTTTATCTACAAAAGTTAATGCTAAAATAAATACTAGCTAACCTTAAAGGCACTACTGCATTCTGTTTTCTCCTCTCCTCTTCCTTTTTATGTAGACATAGTAGTTCTGCACGCAAACCCTATTTCTATCTTATCACATCACACAGGCATAGTGAGGTAACACCTTTATTAGAACCTAATAAACCCATATCTATATAGATATATAAATAGATTGTGCCGCCGTCAAGAACTACAGATCTCTTAATCAGCCAGATAAAACATAAAAGCAGGAATGTGTAAGAGGAATGAAACCTGATTACGTTGGTATCACAGTGATCCCCTCCATAATATAGAAAACCCATAAGTAAAACATAGAAACAATGTTCTGATTTTTCCACTGGATATGATTACTGGCATAGAAAATGATCCATAAGAGAAAAAAAAACCTTAAGACTGCAAGATCTTTTATCAAAGATTTATTACAGATTAACTCTAAATAAATTTTTAATCAAACAGTCCAAATCCCATATCATCATCGGACTCTTCTGATTCTTCTTTCTTTTCTTCTTTCTTTTCTTCTGCTGAAAAGACAAATAGATTCGTACCGTTAGCTGACAACTATCAAAACAGCATACTTCTAGACTACATCTACATTTGCTTTAAAGATTAAAAGTGTGGAACCCATTACTTTTAAAACTCCAGAGTAGCACTGCAGATGCTGATGCCAGACAGGGCCCACCATCAAGTTGCATAGACTCAAAATACATGTATGTTGTGTGAAGAATTCAATCCTATCTTGAAATTCCATTTTTCTTATATAGCATTGATGATTATAGTTACAATTGGTGGTATCAATATTCACACTAAGATAAGAACTGCGAGCCAAAATGAATTGTGCCTAAAGCTTAACCAGCATCCTACAAGTTGGGTCCCCCTTACCCAGAGTTCCAAAATACTCCAAAATTGTCTACATAAGTGGCTAATATACAGGGAGTCCCTAAATTATGAACAAGATAGATTCTGTAGGTTTGCTCTTAAGTTGAATTTGTATGTAAGTTTGTATGTAAGTTGGAGCGGGTACATTTTAAAGTGTAACTCCAGCCATATAAATACATACACAAACTCCTGTGGAGTTTGTTTGCTGTCTGTACCCCTGTTCAGATGATTTCACCTCACTTTCTATCCCTGTGATAATTTCATTTTGAAAAAATTGGCTTGTTGTGGAAACAAGGATTGGCGAGAAAGCTTCAGTGAAGACTCCTTTTCCCCACGATAGCTCTTTCGGGGTGAATTTCTCTTCTGAGTAGATTTCTCTCACTTCGTGTTGTCTCACCCTGTTCATAACTATCAGTCATTTGTAAGCTGGATGTTTTTAAGTCGGGGAGTGCATTTTTTTTCTGATGGTTCAATGCAACCAATCCACATTTCAAGCACAAAATGTTGCATATAATTACCTTCAGGCTACGTGTAAAGTGTATTTGGAATGGAAACAAACTGAGTGTTTATATTTGGGTCTCCTCTTCAAAATCTCACTATGTATGAATATGCAAATTCTAAATATTCCAAATTCTAAAACAAAAATCCAAAATCCAAAATACTTGCAGTCCCAACCATTTCAGATAAAGGATACTCAGCCTATACTTCCTTTCAATAAACATTTCCTTACCATTTACAAGAACTATTACCAATGGAACCTTTCCATTTTTTCCATTTTCCAAATTATTTGTGAAACTGGTAAGATTTCAAAACATTAGTGTAATAGGGTGGCCAGTCAGCAAAGTTTCATACATCTGGACTCCTGTTTATTAATTGTGCAGCCGCCTGATGCCCACCTCTCCAAATATTTATTGCTGTGCTAAATTATACCCACCAGCAGCTGGTGCAGCTCCAGCAGCAGGAGCAGCAGGACCTCCAGCAGAGACTGCTACAGCTCCACCAACTGGCATGCTGGCAAGCTTGCTATTGCCTGGTTGAGAATAAAACAGGAAAAAAAATTAAGCATTGCAAGCAGACAGTCACTGAGACAAGAATCAGATTAATCCACAGATTATCAATCCCACCCAGATAATAAGATAGCCTAAAATGGCCTTCTGATGCGGTAGAGCTCTACCTTGGCTAAACTCTGCCCTGTGGCCACTTCTCTCTTTCCAGATCTTTCCCTGCTGCCTCAATTTATACATGAGAAATACAGGAAAGGGATCATGAATGCACTATTGAACCCATGGTGCCTACCCCACAATGGGACATGGGAGGCTGAATCCTTTCCTTCTGCAGCATAAGGCTAAACATAAAACTGTCATAAAAGTACTATGCAACAAGCACTACATGATGGATGGACCTTGGAGATTTAAAATGCTTGCTTCTGATGCAAGTCAACAGTTCCAGAGAAGCTGGCAATATACCATTTCCCTTGCGGACATAGATCCCCTTGGCTCTCTATAAACGTCAATGAGGGTAAAATATCTGTTTGCTTCTAGGAACACATGGTTGAACAATCCTATGGTGTTCCTGGGCCAAAGAACAAACATGTTATATAACTAATTCAGAATAGCCTCAGAAATAGTGCAATTAATACAGAAGCCAAGTAATCATTCTGACATACTAAAACAATTATATGGACCACTCAAGTCCCAATGAAGTTTTAACCAGCCTAGGTCCAGAGTAACCTGTTGGTCTTAACCTTATTAGACAATTAACGGTTTGACTGTTACTGTAACTATGAGTGATATCACTGAAATAAGAAGCCTCTTTTTGATTAGCAGCACCAAAAATCACAGGCAGCAACCTATTGGAAAGGGAGGAGAGAAAGTTAGGATGTAGAAATCATGGAGGTGTTTCAAGTCACCACAGAAATTTGGAAAAGGCTGAGCAGACTTTGGACAAACTCCTTTTTGGTGCAAGGTATCAGCAAGATTGGATCTAGCATTAATCCAAGGCTTCATCCCTCTTTAACGAGGTGGGCAGACAATGAAAAAGAAGCTGAGGGAGGAAGTTCAGTCTTGGACACAGTAAACTTAAGGTAATGAAATGTCCAAAATGTCATATAAGCAGCATAGGACTGGATGAAAGAACAAGCCTTTTAAAAAACATTTTTGGAGCAAAACAGAAGGGAACAAACCGATACAAGGAGAAAGTAGAGGCTTTCACAAGGCACAAGAAATCACTGGTAATGTTATGGAAGTGGATTCAGGGTCCACAAAACATAGACTGCAAGATTAGAAGGAAAGTTGGGAGAAAGACATGTGAAGTACTGGGAATAAACATTCAAAAAGTGGAAGCAGAGAACAGAAAAAGGGTTGAACAGGAGTTACAGAAGTATCACATCAAGAGAGTTTAAAGAAACTTAAAACACAGGACATATCTGAATCTAATGTAGAAAGCTGGGGAAACCTGAAAGGGAGTCTGCATAATCACACATTTCAGTGCTTAAGTGCAAAAGGAAAAATGAAAAAGGGGAGGTAATAAAGAGCATGAGTAGATATTGGAAGCCAGTAAGGCAGACTAATAGTCAAGTGAGAAGGCTTTGGGCACATGAGGCAGAGAAGCATTTTGATGGATTATATCCTTTCAGAACAACTCAGGCTCCAAACATGCCTTATTTTCATAAATCAGAACTCTTCCACAGCAATCTGTTCAGAACCTCCTCTCTGAACTGACAAACAAATGTCTGTCACAAGAGGGGTTTCCTGCATTAATGTAGTCCACCAGCGAAACCCAGCAGGAACCATTATTAGCCTGTGGGAATTAGGATGGACTCATTACATTTCAAAGAAAATCTCACAAATACTATATATATTCTGGTCACGGAGGAGTTGGAAATGTATGGCCACATAATAATTTCTAACATGGAAAAAAGTGGCAAAGCCATTATGCATCAATTCACCAGTTGCAGTTCTTTGGTCCGGCAGCTAATACAGCATTAATCAAGCTACAACACAGTAAGTGGTAGTAGATTTGGGCTATTGTGAAAAAAGTGAGTCACTGGGTTGTTGTAGGTTTTTTTTGGGCTATATGGCCATGTTCTAGAGGGATTCTTTCCTGACGTTTTGCCTGCACCTACGGCAAGCATCCTCAGAGGTTGCTTGCCATAGATGCAGGCGAAACGTCAGGAGAGAATGCCTCTAGAACATGGCCATATAGCCCGAAAAAACCTACAACAATCCAGTGATTCTGGCCATGAAAGCCTTCGACAATACGAAGTGTGTCACTGAGGCTGTTTTCCCTCCTGTTCTAAATAGCTTTGTTATATTTGTAAAACTACTTGAAAATCCCTGAAGAGAGGCATAGCAGGTTCCTAAATCAGATGCAGGGAAAGTGCTACAGTATCATCAAAACTGCTTCCTCATACTTAACTCACCTTGGGCAATAACGTCTTCAATATTTTTCCCATTCAATTCGCTAATGACCTGCAGCAAGGAAAAAGACAGTGTTACTACTGAAGTGTTTAAATTTAATCCCAATTGCAGTCTATTGCTGGCTGCATTAGTAACCCTAATCGTAAATCTAAAATCTGAAAGCATTTGAAAACAAAAACTTTTTTATCAGCAACTAATTACTTCTACCCGCCTTTCTTTTCCTCCTTCAGTCACAGCTATGGGTGAAGGGCGGGCCTTGTTGCTGGGGCTACCAAGACCAATTTGTTGGTGACAGCATTCTCATAAAAATCACCATACTAGCGAGAGGATCATCTCATTCCTCTTACGCCCCCAACCATAGTGTCCCACTAAGATGATCGTGACAGCAAAGGTTTAAAATCAACTGCTCTGAATCCTTCCTATTGAAGACTACTCCTTCTTGCCAGCATATAGGACAACCCAGCAAGATTGCCAAGGGCACAGAGTATGTGCATGTGACAGAGGATATTGGGGGTGGCAGGCAATGTCAGCAAAGGACTAATTTGACCCTCTCGCAGTAACTATCAATTATTCACATTTTTTTTGCTCTATGTGAGCATGAAGTTTGCCGATGTTTGTTATCGGTTACTTCCTGTTTGCTTTGCACACTGTACCTGTACCTTTTTGTCATGGTCTAGGGCAGTACAATAAACTATTTGACATTATCACACACTGCAGCATTTTAGGAGGGAAGCACACCTCACATTTTTAATTTCTACTCTCTGGTGTTCCTCACCTCAGTTTACAGGAAAGACATCTGCAGTGTGAGCTGAAAGTTGAAACAAACCTCTTCCAAGGTGTTTAATAATATGCAAACAGAAAAAGGAAGGGCAGATACTTTATATTAGGAATCTTATGTTCCCACAAGATAAATGTGGAACTGACTTTTATCTTATTTAATAAGTTTATTTAAATTCTCTGTAAGCTTTCAATTTGGCAATATTCTGTTAAGTGCAAACAAATGAAAACAAGGAATGTCAAGAGGGAATTTCTATTCTAATTTATGAAGAAAATAAATTCAAATGAATGCAACTTTGAGGGTGCTGGTAATCATATTCAACTCTGAATCTTAGTACATTATTTGTTTGTTTTTTAAAAAAAAACACCACTTGCCTCTTAAATTGCAAAGAGAACATTTTGCCTGAAATTATAGGTAGTGCCTATGGAAAACTACTGTTATTATAAGTCAATGTTCCCACTAGTTAGCTTTGGTTAAAGGTAAAGGTTTTCCCCTGACATTAAGTCCACTCGTGTCCAACTCTGGGGGTTGGTGCTCAACTCCATTTCTAAGCTGAAGAGCTGGTGTTGTTCATAGACACCTCTAAGATCATGTGACCGGCATGACTGCATGGAGCACTGCTACCTTCCCGCTGGAGTGGTATCTATTAATCTACTCACATTTGCATGTTTTTGAACTGTTAGGTTGGTAAAAGCTGGGGCTAACAGCGGGAGCTCATGCCGCTCCCCAGATTCAAACCTGAGACCTTTCAGTCAGCAAGTTCAGCAGCTCAGTGCTTTAACCCACTGTTCCACCGCAGGCTCTTTAACATAATTTAAAATGCTTCGGAAATTTCTGTGGAGAAAATATTCCACACCTGTAAGACAGCTACAAAACCATTCTGAAATTATGTTACACAGGAGGACTACAAGTAAGTCAGCTGATCTCTTAAAAGGATCTTAAAGTTAGTCTAGTGGTTCAACACTCTTCCTGTGGAATAAGATGTAGTTCCAACTACAGCAAACAAGAACAAATGTGTCATATTACATTTTTTCACCACTCACCTTGTTAACCCGTTCATCATCAGTCTCAATTCCTACGCTGTCAAGAATTTTCTTTAAGTCTTTTGAGCTTGGGGACTCATTGCCCCCAAGGACGGCGAGGAGGTAAGCTGCAACGTAGCGCATTCTAAGGAGGGAAAAGGGAAAACAATCAGGTTTTAAAACATGTGGTTATCTACATTTTAAACAGATTAAAGGTTTTTTAAAAACAGATTTCACCATGAAACAAGCCAGTTAATAAAGACAGTGATAGTGCCTGACTGTTCGGGGGAAACACATATAAATGACAGCAAAATTCGGTTTATCCTTCCTCTTAATAACTACACTCATATCTCTTGCACAAGAAAGCTCAAGAAAATAAAGGAAAAGAGTTATAAGACAGGGCCAAACCTCACTGGTACAACAAACATTTTCGATGTAAATAAGTCACAAATTCCCTACCACTACCACTTTTTTCTTGAAGTAGTTGTGGGAACCACAGGACCTACTGGATGTTGCTGGACCACAATCCCCAGCATCCCTCGCCACCGACAACACCTATCTCTGGAAGACCACATGATATCCAGAAAGGTCACGGAGAATACTGGACTACAGCTTTGGAGCCTCAGGTTCGAACCTGGGTGATCTTGGACAAGTTACACTTTTCTCAGCTTCTGACAGGCAAAAGCAACCTCTATCTGAACACATACTACTAAGGAAACTTTACTGGGCGAGATCAGGCAAGCCCCCAATTTAGCAGCCTTTAAGAAAAATTTGAAAACTTGGCTCTTCCGATATGCCTTTGGAGAATGACTACTTATCCTATTTCTGTTTGTTCCATCCACAGTGTTGCCCCTATGATGCACTTTCCCCCTTCCTAAACTGAAAGACTAATGCCACTCTTCATCCTTTTTGGGCTCCTCTCAATTACACTTTTTTCTATTCTTACCTCATCCAGGGTTTTATCATTTTACCTCGCCCATTTGGCCTGCCCATTTTGTTCGATTTATATGACATTTATTTGCTATATTTATTTTATGTATTTTATTCTGATGTGGCTTTGTTGTCTGAATTTTGTATTTTATTCAGTTACTAGCTGTCCTGTCACGCATTGCTGTGGCCATCTGTGTATATGTGTTTTTGTGTGTATATATGTATGTGTGTGTGTATATATTTGTGTATATATGTGTGGGTGTATATATATGTGTGTGTATTTGTGTGTTTATAGGTGTACATGCATATTGTGTATATGTGTGTGCTTGTTTAAATGCATATTTGTATTTATATGTATATATGTATGTGTGCATGTATATGTGCGTGCATGTGTATATATGTATGTGTGCATGTATATGTGCATGTGTGTATGTATATATGTGGGTATGTATGTGTGTGTGTGTATATATATACGTGTGTATATTTGTGTGTGTTTGTGCATATATATGCGTATGAATGTGTGTATATGTATATGAGTGTATATGTATATATGGTGAATTTTTGGGGGGTTTAAGTCTGTTCCACTGGGGTTCTGTGTGTATGTGAGTGCATGTGTTTATGGGTGATGGACGCTTGATGGACTGTTAGGTGTATTGTGCCCACATTTTGTGTCAATTTGTCCAGTGGTTTTTTTTTAATTATGTTAATCCCACAAACAAACATTACATTTTTATTTATATAGATATTGTATCTTCGGGCTTGGCCTCATGTTAGCCGCCCTGAGTCCCCTTCAGGGAGATGGTGGCAGGGTATAAATAAAGATTATTTTTATTATTATTATTGGTGTTGAATTAATATAGTTTAACACTGTTTTAAGTGCCAAAACTCAAATGCTATGGAATACTTCTCCACCAAAGAGTGTTGGCGACTCAATTAACCGAAGCTCCTAGGATTCCATGGCATTGAGCCTAAAAGCGATGCCAAACTGCATCAATTCTACAGTGTAGATGCCCTCATGGTTGCTGAAACCGTGAAAGCAGAACAGCAAAAGTAGATGAAAGTACCAAGGCATGCCTTTCCTGCGTCGTAAAACCCTACAAGGGGAAGAAAGGGCGTGAAAGCCACTCCAGAAAGCTGATTAGAGTAGGCCTCCCAAAGAGAAAAGGCACTCTCTCATTTCTCAGTATTTGCTTCCGCCTACGTTTCTTACACTTTGCCGCCAAATCCTTCAAACTGTAAGAAAGTAGGTTCAGAGGCCTTCCCCACTCGGCATCGAGCTTCTCATGTTCCCGCTTCTCTCATGGAGGCCGCCACCATTTCCTCCTCCTCCTTTTGCTGGAACTCAGGAAGCACATGGCCGCCATATCTCCCCCCCCCCCTTCCCCAGCCGCCGCACATGGTATCGCCCACTCCAGCCCCTACATTCGCGCAACGGGCTCAAGGAGACGGCACGCGACCCAGGCGCATCCAATTACAGAGGGGCGAGGGGGAACCCTCAAAAGCACCTACTTGGACGCGTTCTTGGGCAAACGCCGGGCCTCGGGACGTGCGCTCTCGACGACGGCGACGGCGAAAAGGAAGGGGAGGAGCCTACAGCGCGGGGTTCTTCCCGCCACCTCCCAGTAAACCGGTTGGGTATTGGTGGAAAAAGAGCCAATCGCCAATGGGATGATTGGCAGCAGCCACGTCACTGCGCTATAAAAATCGTCTTCCGGGAAGCTTCCCTTCGACTTAGAGCAGGAAGGGGCAGATTTTGGCCTTCTCTCCAGGTGTTTTGGCCTTCAACTCCCACCATTCCTGACAGCCCCAGGCCCCTTCCTTTTCACCCTCAGCCGCTTAAGCGGGAAAGGGCCTGAGGCTGTCAGGAGTGGTGGGAGTTGAAGGCCAAAACACCTGGAGGAAAGGCCAAAATCTGCCCCTGCCTGCCTGACTTAGAATCAGGGTGTACAATGAATCTAGTTCAGGCATGGGAAACCAGCCCTCCAGGTGTTTTGGATTTCAGCTCCCACAAGTCCTAAAAGCTGGTAGGCTGTTAGTATTGGAATGTCCATAATCTTTTGGAAATTACTGCAAAGGTAAAAATGGTGTCACCTCCGTTTGGCAAATGTGAATCTCTATTGAAAACCAACAGACCAAAAAAAAAGTATGGCCTTGTTAGAAGTCACCCCTTATTTTATTTATTTATTTATTTATTTATTTATTTATTATTTAAACTTGTATGCCGCCACTCCCCTGGGGCTCGGAGCGGCTTACAAGAATAGCTAAAATCTAACAAAGTTTAAAAGCAATTTAAAACAATTTAAAAACAACAGTATCAAACATTAAAAGCCTGTCGGAACAGGTATGTCTTACATGCCCTGCGGAAGGCTGGTAAGTCCCGCAGGGCACGAACTTCAGGTGGCAGAGCGTTCCAGACTGATGGCGCCACTGCTGTGAAGGCTCTGCGTCTGGTTGCCGTTAGACGCAAGGTCTTGACACTGGGGACTTCCAATAGATCTTGGTCCTCAGAGCGGAGGGATCTCTGGGGTTGGTAGGAGGTGAGACGATCCCCCCTGTTTTAGAGTTTTTATACCCCGGTCTTCTCACCTCCGGGGAGGGACTCAGGCTGGCTAACAACATAAAATTCAATACAATAAGAAAAACATTATAGGTCATCAGTATAAAATACATTAAAATACACTTCATACAAATTACAGCAAAAATCAGTTCGTCCAAAAGAATCACAAATTCATCACCATCCGCCAGAAAGGTCAGTAGTTATTGACTCAGTCATCATTCTGTGAATGCAGTATCCCAAAGCCATGTTTTTACCTGCTTTCTAAACTTCAGGAGGCAAGAGGCAGATCTAATCTCCATTGGGAGGGAGTTCCAAAGCCGAGGGGCCACCACCGAAAAGGCCCTGTCCCTCGTCCCCACCAAACGCGATTGCGAAGGCGGTGGGACTGAGAACAGGGCCCCTCCAGAAGATCTTAACAACCTTGATGGTTCATAGGGGAGAATCCGTTTGGACAGGTAAATAGGTTCAGAGCCATTTAGGAGTTTATAGGTCAACACCAGCACTTTGAATTGTGCTCGGAAGCTGATTGGCAGCCAGTGGAGCTGGCGCAACAGAGGAGTAGTATGCTCCCTGTACCCCGCTCCCGTTAGTAATCTGGCTGCCGCTCTTGTACTAGTTGTAGCTTCCGGGCAGTCTTCAGAGGCAACCCCACGTAGAGAGCATTGCAGTAGTCTATACGGGATGTAACCAGAGCATGTACCACCGTGGCCAAGTCAGACTTCCCAAGATACGGGCACAGCTGGCGCACAAGTTTTAATTGTGCAAAAGCTCCCCTGGGGTTCCAGGCTCAGTGATGAGTCCAGGATCACTCCCAAGCTGCGAACCTGCACCTTCAGGGGGAGTGTAACCCCGTCAAGCACAGGCTATAACCCTTAAGACAAAGTGATACTCATAAAACAATGTAACAGCACACAGGTAGCTCGGCTGTTAAACTGAGGAACATGTCTTTAAACAGCCAAGGATAAAAGACAAGCCACTTCAAAAAATATATCTGGATAAAAGAAGATGGTTGTTTGAAGTAGAATTTGCTGTTGCCCAAAAGATATACACTCCCTTAAAACATGCACTCAAGTGGAGAGGGGAGAGCAGGCATGCTCAGCACACGGCAGCATAGTGCGAGGGAGAGCACGCAAGGCTGGAGGGAGGCTCAGGCCAGCAGGTCCCTTCAAGGCGGGGGAAAAGTAGTCTTCTTTGAAAAACAAAATATCTTATTTAGTAACAAACTTGTATATATTCAGTGTACAAGCACATAGTCTTGTAAGTTCATGAGCACACACATCCACCTCCAAAGAGGTCTGAAACCAAACTTCTCTTATTGAAATCTATAAGCATATAGAACACAAAAAGGAGTCCTGAGTTTGCACATGCTCAGTACAATCACATCTATAACTCCTCCCACATCAAAGAGGTACAGCCAAACTGACAAATCAAAACACACATAGAATGCAGGCTAACAATTGTATATACATTAACAAGCAGTCCATGGGGGCTTGGAAGGTTGCTATTTCCAATACTTAGGGATTGTGGGAGTTGAAGTCCTAAACACCTGGGGGAATGAAGTTTACCCATGTCTAATCTAGTTTGTGAACATTTTGACAAAGTCTGTAGCCTTCTCTGCGAAGAGTACTCTTGAACAACATTTTTTGTGAACTGGGAGTAGGTTTTGGAACTTCGGCTCCTGACAGGGGAACGGCTTGATAAATGGCAGGTGTGTGATTTGGGATTATATCCCGAGTAGACATGCAGTTTTGTTTATTAATTTATGTTATTTGTACCCTGCCTTTCACCCCAATGGGGCCTCAAGGCGGCTAACAGTCACACAATCACAGCACAATTTAAGACATAGAAAATACCAAAATTTAAAAACAAATAGTACTGCATGGATTTAGGTTAAAATATTATAAATACAATTAACATTGCATTTAAAACTCACAATCCCACCCACAACCTCTCCAAAGCCTGCACCTTGTCCTTCCCCAAGTGTCGCCTGGCACATAAAGGTCTACATTCTGCCTTCAAAAGGCCAGCAGGGATGGGCATCCTGGTGTCTCTTGGAAGGGAGCTCCACGGCCTGGTAGTAGCCACTGAAAGGGCCCTCTCCTGCGTTCCCACCAAGTGCCCTTGAGCATGTGGTGGGACCGAGAGAATGCCCTCCCCAGCAGATCATAGATGCCTCCCAGGTTCATACAAAGAGATGTAGTCTTTCAAAAAACCTGGACCTAAGCCATATACAGCTTTGTAGGTCAAAACCAGTACTGTGCCTGGAAATGTGTTGACAGCCAATGGATCTGTTGCAACAGAGGAGTTGTCTCCTCCCTGTAGCCAGCCCCAGTTAGCAGTCTGGCTGCAACTCTGGACCAACTGAAGTTTCTGAGCACTTTTCAAAGGCAGCCCCATGTAGAGCACATTACAGTAGTCCAACCAGGATGTAACCAAGGCATGAACCACTGTGGTCAGATCAGACATCACTAGGAACTAGTGCATTTGGCACAATAGCTTTAACTGTGCAAAAGCACCCCTGGTCACTGCTGATAGCTGAACCTCCAGGTTCAGAGCCAAATCCTAACCTGCTAATCTGTGTTTTCAGGGGGAGTGTAACCCCAACTAACACAGGCTGACTCCCTACTCCCAGATCTGTTTACTTACTAAGAGCACGCCTGTCTTGTCTGGATTAAGCTTCAATTTGCATTTTCTGCATTTTCCAGTGTTTTCAGGCTGAATCCCTATTCCCAGATCTGTCTTTCGATTGACCAGGAGCATCACTGTCTTGTCTGAGTTAAACTTCACTTTGTTTGCACTCATACATTCCATTAAAGCTGAATAGTGCCTTTGAATAAGTATTTAGAACACAGATCTTGGTCATTCAAAAGTGAACCCTCTGTGCCCTTTGAAGTTTACTCCCTAATAAGGTCATAATGCAAATTGCTATTAAGTTTGCACCTTTTATGCATGCAATGGTCTATCAGTTAACCAACATTGGTGGGGATTGATAGAGTCAGATAATGTAGTATCTGGTGGCTTAAGAATTAAAATTAAAAATAGGCCTATACCACACCATAAACACTGTATTAACCTGGTTTTAATATTGAAATAATAACTAAAATAAAGACAAACATAATGCTTGGTTCCCTCTATAGTTGAGAGTTACAAAACAAATGAATAAACAAAAGCGGAACACTTAATTACACTTTCCAACACACATTTTGGTGCCTCATGTGTGAGCCCTGTTTTTGGGCATATTTGACCTGCTGATTCCAAAATGACACATTGTGCCCTACCAACTCTAGTTTTCTAAATACAGCAGAACTAAAGCTGATGTGGTCTACCCAATGCAGTTTTCTAAATCAGCACCTCAAATAACCACAGGAAAAGGCTTAAAAACCATGACACGGAGATTGTCTGTGTTATTGGTAAGTAATAATCACAACATCCAACATTAGGAATATTTTCCAGATGGTATTCGCTGTTTGACATGGGACTGTGCCGCTTTGGAAAGTGGTGGGTTCTCCTTTTTTGGAGGTTTTGAAGCAGAGGCTGAATGGCCATCTGTCGGGGGTGCTTAGATTGTGTGTTCCTGAATGGCAGAATGGGGGCCGGGTTGGGGAGATGGCCCTTGGGGTCTATGAAAAGGCAGCATTTTACATAGCGTTAGAAATGACTTGAAAGTACTGCACAGCGACAGAAAGGAGAGGCGGGAGCTCTGGCTGGGAAGGCGCGCCTCCCCCGGCCCCTCCCGCTGCCCCAAACCGGCCGCTTCGCTTCCTCTTCGGAGTAACCCTTCGCCTCCCGTGGGGGAGCTGCAAGGAAGCGCGTGGAGTGACTGACCGGGGAAGCGGGAGGGAGCGGCCTCTTTAAGGGGAAAAGTTTGGAGTTCTTGCAGCGGGAAGGTGCCAAGGCGGCCGGGGGTGTGGGAGCGGGTCCTCGTTGGAAACCGTGACCTCTTCTCGACTCAAACTCCCAGGAAGAAAGAGACGGGTGAGAATGTCCTCCTCCCGGCCGCGGTAAGGCTCCCCTCTCTCCACGCCTGGAAAGGAGCGTGCAGGCGCGCGCGTCCACAAGCGGGCACGGGCCAACTTCGGCCCTCCAGTAGGATGTTAGGAATGGTGGGAGTTGAAGTCCAAAGCACCCGGAGGGCCCAGGTTTGCCTATGCCTGGTTTAGCCTGAGTTTGGCATCTCTCATACCTTCACACTACAACTTGAGTCCAACAGTTGGAAAGTACTGGGTTGCTGTAGGTTTTTTCGGGGTGTATGGCCACGTTCTAGAAGCATTCCCTCCTGACGTTTCGCCTGCATCTATGGCAGGCATCCTCAGAGGTTGTGAGGTCCTCAGAGATTGTGACCGCACAACCCCTGAGGATGCCTGCCATAGATGCAGGCCATACAGTCCCCAAAACCTACAACAACCCAATGATTCCGGCCATGAAAGCCTTCAATAATAAGTTAGAAAGTAACCCATGGTTGGTCTGGTCCAACCCCTTGCAAGCACAGCAACCCAAAGACATCCAAACTGTGCTGAACACATTCTAAGACCCCTTTCATACATCTGAAATCCCACATTTTCTGCTTTGAACTGGGATATATGGCAGTGTGGACTCAGATGTCCCAGTTCAAAGCAGAAACTGTGGGATTTTCTGCCTTGATATTCTGGGTTACAAGGCTGTGTGGAAGGGTCCTCCCAAAGGGACCTCTTCTAACTTCTCTCCAGGTAATCTAACCCACTGTTGAACAACTGCTATTACTACTGTATTAGCAAATTCATCCACGGATTTAATCATCACCTTTTTTGTAATCGGAACCAAGCAGTGCAAGCAGCAGAAGACAAGCTTCCCTCACTGGGGTGTTGTATGGTTTCTGGGCTGTTTGGCCCTGTTCCAGCAGGACTTTCTCCTGACGTTTGACCTGCATCAGGGGCCTCTTCCATACAGCTGAAGGAAACCCCACATTATCTGCTTTGAACTGGAATATACAGCAGTGTGGATTCAGATAACCCAATGCAAAGCAGATATTGTGGGATTTTCTGCCTTGACATTCTGGGTTGCATGGCTGTGGGGAAGGGCCCTGTGGCTGGCATTAATGGGTGGAATGGGGATTTGGTGCTTGAAACAGTAAAAGTTTAACAGCCCAGCCCATCCCCACCCCCAAATACATAGAAATATAGAGTTGGAAGAGACCTCATGGGCCATCCAGTCCAACCCCCTGCCAAGAAGCAGGATATTCTTTGTGTCTTCATGTATAGGGTTATTTGGGGCACTGATTAAGGGCCCCTCCACAGAGCCATATAACTCAGAATATCAAGGCAGAAAATCCCACAATATCTGCTTTGAACTGGATTATCTGAGTCTACACTGCCATATATTCCAGTTCAGATAATGTGGGATTTTATTCAGATGTGTGGAAAGGGCCTAAGAAAATTGCATTGGAGCAGCTCTACTTCCTTAGATGTGGTATTCACATCATCACAGTAGAGAATGAATCCACTTTAAATCCAGTTTCTGCCTCCTGCAGAATTCTAGTGTTTGTGCTTTAGGAGGATTTAACAGCCTCACTACAAACCCCAAATTCTGCAGGAGGCAGGAACAGGGTTTAAAGTGCATCCATGTGTGATGAGGCAGGTTTTCTGTGGGTGAGCAAATGAAGACTGGTATATGGCATATGTTCTGTATCTCAAATACTACAGCGGATAGAGGAAAATTGGTATCATTTTTGGAATCAGCAGGGCAGATATACCCAGAAATAGGGCTAATGTTTGAGGCATCAAAATATGTGTTGGCTCGTGTAACTGATCCACCCAGAATGCATTTAATCTTTAGATTTCTTGTTCCCACTTTGACCCTTTGCCATATTATCCGTACTAAATAGGAGCCCCCGGTGGCACAGTGGGTTAAACCACTGAGCTGCTGAACTTGCTGACTGAAAGGTTGGCAGTTCAAATCTGGGGAACAGGGTGAGCTCCTGCTGTCAGCCCCAGCTTCTGGCAATCTAGCAGTTGGAAAATATGCAAATGTGAGTAGATCAATAGCTACCACTTCTGTGGGAAGGTAACAGTGCTCCATGCAGTCATGCCAGCCACATGACCTTGAAGGTGTCTACGGACAACGCCAGCTCTTTGATTTGGAAATGGAAATGAGCACCACCCCCCAGAGTTGGACACGACTGGACTTAATGTCAAGGGGAAACCTTTATCTTAAATACATTTCCAGCTAAAGGATGTCTTATTGGATTCTGGCAATATTTATATCTGATACCTTAACTGCTTCAAGTAAAATTTCTGTTCCTTTTTTGGTCCTGATCATTTCTTCAAATCTGTGTGCTCTTAAAATGTTTTTCTTCTTCCTCACTTTCTTTCCAGAGGCAGCTTCTCTCCTACATCTCCGCTCCTAATTATTTGTGGTACCACCAGCTCTTGTTTGATTGGCAAGTCGGAACATGAACAGCCGAGGGCAATGTAACACCAGAAGATGGCAGGGCAGAAGGAGCTTGGGGACCCCCTGGGGGAGGGGGCTTGGGGCGCTGAGGGGCCTGCCAGCTCTTGCTTGGCTGGCAACCGGCTCAACTTGGACGTCTATGCAGAGGGCTGCCTTTTCTTCCTTCGGCTGTTTGAGACGCGAAGGGAAGAAGTGGAGCAGGTGGAATTCCTGAGACTGAGCTGCAACGAGGACTGTATTGCTTCCACCCTTAGCATCATTCCTGCCCTGAAGGGCCTGAAATCTCTTGTACTCAAAGGTAACTGCATGGCAATAATTTTTGGTCCAAATAGACTTTGCTCTGTTCAGTGGGACTTGCTTCCAGGAAAAGATTAGAAAATTGTAGCCCCAGGTTTCAAACATATGCATGTTCACAGAGGAACTGAACTCATGGGGTTTCCTTTTGAGTAAATATGCAATGGAGAAATCTACAGGAATGAGGTCTTTGGCATTCTTTTCTTGGCAGAATCGCCTGTTTACTCAGATGTAAACTTATGGTTTTCAACAGCACTTGCTGTTGTTTAGGCTTGCAGGTTCCATTATTTTTCACTGAAAGGGCTTTGTTTTTACCCTGAATCCCCTTTGGAATAAAGTTTTGATTGAACTGCAGTTGATGGGAGGTTGCTCCCTGATGTCTTGGCTGTATAGCGGCATGCACCACTTCAGGGTGTGACATCCTTGGAGACCCATGCAGGTGGGTCACTATCTGTGGACATGCGCAAGATGCCAGGTAGGCACAGCCTTTCCATCATCAGCACATAATGATAATATTTAATGAATGACTTGTTTATTGTACTACCCATAGGCCATAACATCAAATAATATACATCTTTTAAAAATACAGTATACACGTTCCAATATAAATATTAAAACTTATTCTCTGAACAAGCTCTTTCAAATTACAGTAGCAGTGACAATCCCTATAGCAGGGGTAGGGAACCTTTGGCCCTCCAGCTGTGGTGGACTTCAACTCCCACAATTCCTTGAGGCTCGGCATTCGCCCCAAAGGCTTACCTTGGCCCAATGCTGAGCCTCAAGGAATTGTGGGAGTTGAAGTCCACCACAGCTGGAGGGCCAAAGGTTCCCTACCCCTGCCCTATAGGCAGGGTAACAATAACAAAATCTGATTTGCATTGTCCCAAACGATTTCCATTTTCATTTTTAGCCTCCGCTGTGGACTTAACAAATTTAGCTTGGATTTTCTGGGCTGCAACTTCAAATGTGAGGACGTTTATCGTTATATTTTTTTGAATAATCCGTTAACAGGTCACAGATAACTGCTGACTAATTATAATATTAGGATGGAATTAATACTGTAACTTAAAATTGTGTGTGTAGCAATTCATGGGTATATTTTTGCCTTCATGTGTATTCTTAGGTGTTGGTAGGGGAACTTATTTTCCCTTACTTATGTTTCAATATTCCTTTGAGTTTCTTAGAGGCTAGCTTGTCCCTCTGTTCAAAATAAAATAAATTTAGGATTGCGATGCCATTTTTAAAATAGGTATTTTATTAAGTATGCCTGATGCTTTTGTAAAATGTCCAGTGGTGTACACACACCCAACCCAATACATTATTAAAAAGTATGAATGTGTATGCTGATAAACCTTTTTGCATTGAATACGATTTTTAAAAAAATTATATCTGTTTTGGTTCTCTTCAGCCTCTCAGACAAGCTTCTCTCGCTGGAGTATTGTATGGTTTCTGAGCTGTTTGGCCCTGTTCCTGACGTTTGACCTGCATCAGGAGCCTCTTCCATACAGCTGAAGAAAACCCCACATTATCTGATTTGAACTGGAATATACAGCAGTGTGGATTCAGATAACCCACTTCAAAGCAGATATTGTGGGATTTTCTGCCTTGATATTTTGGGTTATATGGCTGTGTGGAAGGGCCCTTAGTTTGTTCACATCTAATTACTCTGAAGTTCTGTTCTACCTCATTTGGCTTCCATACAAAACAGGCAAAGGCTTATCAGATGTTATTGGGTTGCAGTTCCCATCATCTCTCACCAGCTATCTCTCACCATGGGCCTGTTCATCCCAGGGTTCCCACTCATGAATGCCAAATATTAACTATTGCTTTAGTCCTCCTGAAATATGATTAAACCTGAAAGCAAAAGATGGTTTTGGAAATATACTAACCACATTAGTATCAGATTCTTTTAATTCCAATCATGCATGACGTTTCAGAGCTGGGAAAAGTTAATAACTGGGGGATTTGGAGAGCTGTCCTCCAAAACTAACGTATCATGAAGCTAAATATTGGTTAGTCTTCCATGTTTTTTTTTAGGAAATACATTTGAAATGAATTACCTCATACTGAGTAATCCCTTCCCTCCTACATTTCCTCTCTTTAACAGGTGGACACACCAGGGATGAAGCTGGGGCTTGCCAGAGAGGATTGCTCTCCTCCTTGCCCCATGAGCTTGGAGAGTTAGCCCAGCTTGCCCACCTTGATCTCAGCTTCAACAGCTTCACTGTGTTGCCCCCCTGTGTCACCAAGTTACTCAGCCTCAGAAGTCTCTTGATCTGCCACAACAGCTTGCAAGAGCTGCCGGGGGACTTTGGCCAACTCAGTGAGCTGACTTTCTTCTCGGCAATGAAGAACCAGCTCAGAGATCTACCTCAGGGCATTGGAAAGCTGGTAGCACTGCAGACTTTGGACCTTTCAGAAAATGCACTGGAATCCCTTCCAGAAGAGATTGGGAATCTTCGGCATTGTATGGAGCTGGATCTCTCAGGAAATCTGTTGACTGGAATCCCTACCTCCCTTGGTAAGATGTTAATGACTAAGAAAAGTGAGGTAAATCCCTCCCTTGTTCTTGAGCTGTGGTTGATATGGACACATTATAAAACAAATCTGCAATCCTTGCTATAGCATCTTGATCAGTGTCCATCTCTGTAGTGAATTGGGGAGAATGACTATTCAGTTGATCAAATCTCATTCTATTATTTTAATAGACATTTCTCATTAATCATTAGAATAGTCAGTACGGCTACTGACTTTGTCCCCTTAGTCTTTTTGAGTTTGCATTGTTTATGTATGCTCCATCATGTCTCCAGCATAATTTTTGTCTTTGTTCAGCTTCTCACGGCTTTGAATGTTTGCCGATATCTGTTGTAAATTGCCCTGAGTGCCCTCTGGGAGATTGGGCGGGATATAAATAAAGTTGTTGTTGTTGTTGTTGTTGTTATTATTATTATTATTATTATTATTATTATTATTGGAGACCTACTGCTAGGCTTATGGGATATGTTTATAGTATGCTATTTTTAAAACATTGTGTATATATTTTTCTTTTTGTTTGTCTACTGCTATGACTCCTAATTTTAAAAATCCTGCATCCTTGAACACCATGCTTAAGATTGAGCTATACAGCTGTAATTCTCTGCATTTTCTTTAGGAAATAAGTCCTGCTGAATTCAGATAGATTTACTTACATAACATGAGCTTTGTTTCTTATTGTTGAATTCCTACAGCTTGATTAACAACAGATGTTTTCAACTTGTATTTTAGGGTTGATTGATTTTACTGTAGTATTGTTTTATATATTGATGATGTGAATTAAGTTTTCCTTTGGTATTGATGTATCTGTATTTATTGCAAGATATGGATCGTTACATTATGAGTGCTTTGTAAGCCGCATCGAGTCCCTTTTGGGAGATGGTGGCGGGGTAGAAATAACTTTGTTTTATTATTACTACTACTACTACTACTACTACTACTACTATTATTATTTTAAAACCAATTTTAAAAATTGCCCCTTGCATTAAAAGCATTTTAGGGTTCATTTAGGTCACAACACATTTTTTATCTGTGAAATATAAAATTCCAAAAAACTACAGGAAAATTTCTTTTAAAAAAAAGATCATTTGTTACAATAGGAGCCCCTGGTGGCGCAATGGGTTAAACCTTTGTTCCGGCAGGGCTGAAGACTGACAGCTTGGAGGTTCAAACCGTGGGGGAGTGGGTTGAACTCCCTCTGTCAGCTCCAGCTCCCCATGCAGGGACCTGAGAGAAGCCTCCCACAAGGATGTAAACATCAAAACATCCAGGCATCCGCTGGGTAACGTCCTTCCAGACAGCCAATTCTCTCACACCAGAAGCGACTTGCAGTTTCTCAAGTTGCTCCTGACACACACACACGCAAAATTGGTTACAATCATCTATGATCCTAAATACAAAGGAAGATTTAAGTCTGATTTCCCCCTCCCCCTCCCTTGGTAAATTAGATTGTTTATTGTTGCATTCCTTTGGCTATATGCTCGCCTTAAAATGTGTGTATGGTATTCATCTATTAAATGTTTTGCACCTTTCTGTCAAACAATGGCACTCAGGGTTGTTAACAGTAAAATTAAAATTAAAATACACACAGTAGGCAAATGCAGTTTAAAGAATGTACTTCTGCTTTTGTGTATCACTAATATCTAGAGACTACTAAAAGCAAAATCCTCTGTTTTTAAAGGGATTTGGATAAAAGTTGAACCTATTTACACAGGGGTACATATCCTCTTCTCAAGAATAAATTGATCTCTTACTCTATCTCACGCTTTTAAAAAAATCCTGTTCTGACTTGCAGCCAATTTGCAGTTTCTGCAGCAGCTGCATCTTCACAGCAATCTCTTGGTGACAGTCCCTGCATCCCTGGCCCACCTCCCCAACTTGTCCAGGCTTGATCTGCAGAATAACAGGCTACGCACCATCTCTCCAGAGATCCAGAGCTTGCCCTTTGTGCATCTGCGAGGTAACCCTCTAGGAGAACCTGAGGTGCCTCTACAACCAGGTAATTGCTTCCCTTCTGCTTGCTCTTGTCTGTTGAACAGCTGTTTACCACCTTTAATGAGAGTCGGAAGCCATTGAGTGATCTGATGTTTGGTTTGCAGAGGATGAGGCTATGTTTTGCCCTATACACACAGCAGGGCTTGCTATACACTGGGTTTGAACCCAGGACCTCCCATGGATACCATAATCCATGGATGCTCAGTGGCATAGTAAAATGGGTCCCTTATATAAAATGGCAAAAAAATCAAGATTTGTATTTCAGATGGAGCCCCCGGTGGCACAGTGGGTTAAAGCCCTGTGCCGGCAGGACTGAAGACCAACAGGTCGCAGGTTCGAATCCGGGGAAGAGGCGGATGAGCTCCCTCTATCAGCTCTAGCTCCTCATGCGGGGACATGAGAGAAGCCTCCCACAAAACATCCGGGCGTCCCCTGGGCAATGTCCTTGCAGATGGCCAATTCTCTCACAACAGGATGCTCCTGACACAACAAAAAAAATATCAGATTTTAAAAGTATATTTTCAAGCTATAAGTGATTGAATCCATGGAAGCAAAATCCATGGATAGAGAGGACTAATGGTGCATGCAAACTAATGATACAGCCTTTTTCACAGCTTAGAAAAGTTATTGTTTCGAATTACATCTCTCAGAATTTGCAAATTAGCCTGGGGAGAAAATCATCTTGACTCAGGAACCCTCACTGATATAGTAAAAAAAAAGTAAAAATTTCAGCTCTCTCTTTTCTTAAGCATTTATAGAATAAAGGAATTATTGCAAAAATCACTGTTACAGAAGATCAATAAAAATTAAAATGGCTAATAAAACAATTTCAGAGCAAGGTCTACATATTACAATATTTCAGCAATTTAATCAAATATAATTTTGGCTATGTTAAAATCACAGTATAATGCAGAGATTGCAGAGATTGCACTTTTTAAAACAGCTGAACTAAATAAAAGGGCTCGAAAAATAAGACGGTCTCCTCCCAGTGTTGATTGAAAAGTAGGTGCCAAGCAGGATTCTCTAGGGATGGTATTCCACAATGAGAAGGCTGCTCCTACAAAGGCCCTGTATGAAATCTTTATCTCAGATTAAGGAAGGGGATATGAAAGGGGCTTAGTTAGATTTCACTGCCTTCAGAGTCATCTTAAAGCAAAGCACTATAGGTGAGGATAAGAGAAATATGCTAAGGATACAAGCTTTAGATTCAAAACATACTCTTGGAATGTAACCTGTTTAAAGACTTCTTGTAACTTTCTGAAGCTCTAGTTGTGTTAGGTGTCTTTAAATGACATGGATCCATTTATTTTGTGCATTCACTATCATTATTGGAGCCCTTGGTGGTGAAACGGGTTAAACTGCTGAGCTGCTGAACTTGCTGACTGAAAGGTCACCTGTTCGAATCCAGGGGACTTGGTGAGTTCCCGCTGTTAGGCCCAGCTTCTGCCAACCTAACAGTTCAAAAACATGTCAATGTGAGTAGATCAATAGATACTGCTCCAGTGGGAAGGTAACAGCGCTCCATGCAGTCATGTCAGCCACATGACCTTGGAGGTGTCTATGGACAATGCCAGCTCTTCAGCTTAGAAACTGAGATGAGCACCACCCCCCAGAGTTGGACTCGACTAGACTTAATGTCAAGGGGAAACCTTTACCTTTGCTTTTTAAAACTATCATTATTAAACTAAAAGTCACTAGCAATCCTAGACCTGGTGGTACTGTGGCTGTTGTTATTGTTAATGCTATTATTATTTAGATTCATGTTCTTACATCAATTATTGTAAAGTATTGATGGGAGTTCAGATTGTAGGGGACTTGGTTGATAATTTATTTATTTGCTATATTTATATACCGTCTTTCTCACCCCTGGAAGGACTCAAGGCAGTTTACAACATACCTAATTCCAACATATATGAAAAATTATTGTGAATCCAGCCTGCCCTGCAAAACTAACTATACAGAAACTGGAATGGATTTTTTTTGGGTATACAGACATGAACTTCCAGCCTCTATTTTCTCAATTGTTGCAGAGAATTCAACTTTGGAAGAACCAAGAAGATTGTTTATTGAAACTGGTGAGAGCAGGTATTTCACATCGCTCTTTTAGCCAATACCCTCTTTTGTTTTGCCGAGCATGCCAGTGCCCTACTGCCTTGCTTTTTGTATAAAATCCCCATTATACCTGGAGCTCTTCTTTAAGGAAGCATTAATCAGGGGGTGGCCTAATTTATTATGCTGGGGCAGTCATCCCCTTGATAGTACAGAGAAGCCACACTGCTGTGATTTCAAGGGCAATGCTCATGTGAGTTAGTCAGTCTGTACCTCCAGGAGGTCTTAGCTACATGGTAGGTCCCAGCATACATACTTGCACTGTGGCTCCCCTGTCAAAGAACTCTGGGTTTTTGAGTGCAGGGAAAGCCACCAAAATTGCTCAGAGCATTGATGCCCTGGCTTGCCAGTTCTCACTTGTAGCAGTTAGAAGGCTGCAATCCCTGCCACACTTGAAGCAGTGCCATTTCTGTTGTGGGCCTTGGAAGACTGCCACCAGCACCTGGCAATGTTACATTTGCAGGTTATAATCTGTGGTGATTGGCGGCTTCCAAGGCAGTAGGACATCTGGTTTGGATCTGGACATTAAGGGAACTATTCAAAGCGCTTAATCTATTTTAAGCACAGGATTCAACACTCCTTTGAAATTTAGACTAAAACCCAGAACAGAGTCACAGCCACACTGAGATTAATATTATCAATTGTCACTGACTGCAGTCCACAGAAACTTCAGCCAGTGTGGCCACGGGAGTGCTGTAATCAAAAAATCAATATTTCCACACTTGACTGCTCCCTGTCCATGCTGTACCAGGAAAGGTGGAGAAGGGCAGGAGATGCCATTGTGCTGTGACTGGCCTTCAAACCTGGAGCCTGCAAGAGAAGAAAGAAAGGTGGCAATGTCTGTTCCTTAGCTGTGAGTCCAAATAGGCAGTTACCAAAGCTAGGATAACTTGAGATACTAGAGAAGCTAGAATTGTGTTCAGCTTTTGAATCAATACCTTTGGAGAATCATAGAATCATAGAATCAAAGAGTTGGAAGAGACCTCATGGGCCATCCAGTCCAACCCCCTGCCAAGAAGCAGGAATATTGCATTCAAATCACCCCTGACAGATGGCCATCCAGCCTCTGTTTAAAAGCTTCCAAAGAAGGAGCCTCCACCACACTCCGGGGCAGAGAGTTCCACTGCTGAACGGCTCTCACAGCAGGAAGTTCTTCCTCATGTTCAGATGGAATCTCCTCTCTTGTAGTTTGAAGCCATTGTTCCGCATCCTAGTCTCCAGGGAAGCAGAAAACAAGCTTGCTCCCTCCTCCCTGTGGCTTCCTCTCACATATTTATACATGGCTATCATATCCCCTCTCAGCCTTCTCTTCTTCAGGCTAAACATGCCCAGCTCGTTAAGCCGCTCCTCATAGGGCTTGTTCTCCAGACCTTTTATCATTTTAGTCGCTCTCCTCTGGGCACATTCCAGCTTGTCAATATCTCTCTTGAATTGTGGTGCCCAGAATTGGACACAATATTCCAGATGTGGTCTAACCAAAGCAGAATTGAGGGGTAGCATGACTTCCCTAGATCTAGACACTATGCTCCTATTGATGCAGGCCAAAATCCCATTGGCTTTTTTTGCCGCCACATCACATTGTTGGCTCATGTTTAACTTGTTGTCCACGAGGACTCCAAGATCTTTTTCACACGTACTGCTCTCGAGCCATGCATCCCCCATTCTGTATCTTTGCATTTCATTTTTCTGCCTAAGTGGAGTATCTTGCATTTGTCACTGTTGAACTTCATTTTGTTAGTTTTGGCCCATCTCTCTAATCTGTCAAGATCGTTTTGAATTCTGCTCCTGTCCTCTGGAGTATTGGCTATCCCTCCCAATTTGGTGTCGTCTGCAAACTTGATGATCCTGCCTTCTAACCCTTCATCTAAGTCATTAATAAAGATGTTGAACAGGACCGGGCCCAGGACGGAACCCTGCGGCACTCGGCTCGTCACTTCTTTCCAAGATGAAGAGGAAGCATTGGTGAGCACCCTCTGGGTTCGTCCATTTAACCAATTACAGATCCACCTCACCGTAGTTTTGCCTAGCCCACATTGGACTAGTTTCCTTGCCAGAAGGTCATGGGGGACCTTGTCGAAGGCCTTACTGAAATCCAGGTACGCTACATCCACGGCATTTCCCGCATCTACCCAGCTTGTAACTCTATCGAAAAAAGAGATCAGATTAGTCTGGCATGACTTGTTTTTGATAAATCCATGTTGACTATTAGCAATGACCGCATTTGTTTCTAAGTGTTTGCAGACCACTTCCTTAACAATCTTTTCCAGAATCTTGCCTGGTATCGACGTGAGGCTGACCGGACGGTAGTTGTTTGGGTCATCCTTTTTTCCCTTCTTGAAGATTGGGACCACATTGGCCCTCCTCCAATCTGCTGGAACTTCTCCCGTTCTCCAAGAACTCTCAAAGATGGTTGCCAATGGTTCCGAAATGACTTCCGCTAGTTCCTTCAATACTCTGGGGTGTAGTTGATCTGGCCCTGGGGACTTGAACTCATTTAGAGCGGCCAGGTATTCCTGTACGACTTGTTTCCCAATTTGGAGTTGGATGTCCTCAAATCCCTCATCCACTCCTGTCTTGCTGAGGTTGAAGATGACTTTCTTTTTGTGAGAAGACCGAGGCAAAGAAGGTATTTAGTAGTTCTGCCTTTTCCCTATCCCCTGTCAGCATTGCCCCATCTTCTCCTCGAAGAGGCCCTATCGCCTCCTTGTTTTTCCTTTTTCTACTGACATAAGAAAAGAATCCCTTTTTATTGTTTTTAATGTCCCTGGCAAGCCTGAGCTCGTTTTGTGCTTTAGCCTTGCAGACCTTTTCCCTACAGCTGTTGGCTATTTGTTTGAATTCTTCTTTGGTGATTTCTCCCTTTTTCCAGTTCTTGTGCATGTCTCTTTTGTGTCTCAGCACAGTTAGAAGTTCTTTGGAAAACTGAGTCAGAAAACTGAGTCACTGGTTCTATAACATTGACTCTTTATTATTATTTAGTCTTCCAACTCTGAGAACTTTGGAGAAAATAGGATTGTTGTGTTACAAAAGCAGTGCTTCTTCTCTTTGTGTCTCCTAAGTTTTATAGTGACTCCCGATGGCTGCAGAGTTTCCTTGGCTTGTGGCATCCAACTTTCATTCCCCCCAGGTGCCACCACTACCTCGGTCACTATCCACTTCCAAAAATGCTTTCCTGATCCTCAGTGGGTGATGCTCAACCACCATGATGTCTTGCTGAGCAAAGTCCTAGAACTGCAGCCTCATGAGACTGGCTTCAAGAAGGTAGGAGCTCATGCAATTAGAAAGGGATTCAAACTGGAACTGATTCAAAAAATGCCTTGCAACGTGGATGGGAAGACAATCACTGATAGATTAGCATAGGGGGCTATGTCACATATTGTCTTTGTGGGAAACATAATACTGGCTGGGTTGCTCTGCAAATAAGTATTTATGGCTGAGGTTGGATAAACACTTCATCAAAACTTCAGCTCTATTTATAATGTTGGAGTTGGAAAGGGGAGAGCATCTATGAGCATGTGCGGAATACTGAAAGATCAGGCATAGGTGTTTGTGAGCATAAGCAGAGTACTGCGGTGTCATGAGAAGAGTGTTCATGAGCCTGTGAAGAATGCCTATGTCTTTTCATATACATCAAGCGTATCAGCGGGGGGAAAAAATATTTATTTATTTATTTATTTATCTATTATACCTCACTCTTCAGCCACAAAGGCTTTCAAAAAGAAAGGGATGTCATTTTGCACAGAAAATTAGGGAAAATATTAGAAAATAATAAGTAGGTACAAAAAATTATTATTTATTTATTTATTTATTATTATTTATTACTTGCACTTGTTAACCGCCACTCTCAGCCCGGAGGCGACTCGTGGCGGTGTACAAAACATAGAAAAAACAACAATTTACAATGGAACAAGACAATCACACACATATAAAAATCCGCTTCGTCTAGATTAGGGTCATAGTCAATCTCATCGTCATAGTCCATTCCGGTGATCATTCCAAGGAAACATAGCACTAGCTAAAGGCCTTTTCGAAGAGCCAAGTTTTCAGGCCCTTGCGAAAGGCCATGAGGGAAGGTGCCTGTCTGATTTCAGCAGGGAGGGAGTTCCATAGCCGGGGGGCCACCACCGAGAAGGCTCGCTCTCTCGTCCCCGCCAGGCGTGCCTGCGAGGCAGGCGGGACCGAGAGAAGGGCCTCCCCAGATGATCTCAAGGTCCTCGTGGGCTCATAGGCCGAGATGCGGTTTGCAAGGTATTTTGGGCCGGAACCGTTTAGGGCTTTGTAGGATAGCACCAGCACCTTAAATTGGGCCCGGTAGCAGATCGGCAGCCAGTGGAGCTGGGACAGCAAGGGCGTTGTGTGCTCCCTGCGTCCCGCTCCAGTTAACAACATGGCTGCCGCGCGCTGGACTAGCTGAAGCTTCCGGGCCGTCTTCAAGGGCAGCCCCACGTAGAGAGCGTTGCAGTAGTCAAGACGGGATGTGACCAAAGCGTGTACCACCGTGGCCAAGTCAGACTTCCCAAGGTACGGGCGCAACTGGCGCACGAGCCGGAGCTGTGCAAATGCTCCCCTGGTCACCGCTGAAACCTGGGGATCCAGGCTCAACGATGAGTCCAGGGTCACACCCAAGCTGCGAACCTGTGCCTTCAAGGGGAGTGCGACCCCGTCCAGCACAGGCTGTAACCCTATACCCTGCTCGGCCCTGCGACTGACCAGGAGTACCTCTGTCTTGTCTGGATTTAATTTCAGTTTGTTCGCCCTCATCCAGACCGTTACAGCGGCCAGGCACCGGTTCAGGACTTCGACAGCCTCCTTAGTAGCAGGTGGGAAGGAGTGACAGAGTTGGACGTCATCTGCGTACAGATGACACCGCACCCCGAAACTCCGGATGATCTCACCCAGCGACTTCATGTAGATGTTAAACAGCATGGGGGACAGTATGGAACCCTGAGGAACACCGCAGGTCAACGGCTGTGGTGTTGAACAGGAGTCCCCCAATAACACCTTCTGGGTACGTCCCTCCAGAAATGATTGGAGCCACCGCAAAGCGGTGCCCCCAAGGCCCATCTCTGCAAGGCGTCCCAGAAGAATACCGTGGTCGACGGTATCGAAGGCCGCTGAGAGATCCAGGAGCACCAACAGGGACACACTCCCCCTGTCTAGCTCCCGGCGGAGATCATCCACTAAGGCGACCAAGACCGTCTCAGTACCATGCCCGGTCTGAAACCAGACTGTGCCGGATCCAGATAATCCGTGTCTCTCAAGAATACCTGGAGTTGTGAGGCCACCACGCTTTCCATGACTTTGCCCAAAAAGGGAAGATTGGAAACAGGCCGAAAGTTGTCAAATTTGGTGGGGTCCAGTGATGGTTTCTTCAACAGCGGCTTTATAATAGCCTGTTTTAGGCTCGCTGGAATTTTGCCTTCCCGAAGGGAGGCATTAACCACCACCGTTACCCACTCAGCCAATCCCCCTCTGGCCTCTTTCAGAAGCCAGGATGGGCAGGGGTCTAGGATGGACGTGGTAGGCCTCATTCCTCCAAGTATCTTGTCCACATCCTCGGGTTTCACAAACTGAAAAGAATCCATCAAAATAGGACAAGCAGGTGCTTGTGTCACATCCACAGAGACTGCATTTAAAGTGACGTCCAGCCCAGAACGGATCAAAGCGACTTTGTCTGCAAAAAACCGAGCAAATGCTTCACAGCGCGTGGACGAGTTGTCAGGGCTCCCACCTAATATAGGGGGAGTTAATAGACCTCTGACAATCCGGAACAACTCCGCTGGACGGTTTTTTGCAGACGCAATAGTGGCCGCAAAGAAAGATTTCTTTGCGGCTTTTATTGCCGCGGCATATGCCCTTAAAAAGGACACAAACCGTGTTCGATTTGGCTCGCTTGGGTCCGAGCGCCACACGCTCTCCAGTTCCCTCTTCCTTCGCTTCATCGCTGCCAGCTCCTCAGTAAACCAAGGAGCTGGTTTAGCTCGGTTACTTGAGAGGGGACGTTCCGGAGCGATCCTGTCAATTGCCCTGGTCATCTCCCCATTCCAGAGAGCGACCAGTGCCTCGACATGGTCACCTACCGAGGTGGCGGGAAAATCCCCAAGAGCCATCAGGAATCCATTTGGATCCATAAGCCTCCTGGGGCGGACCATCTTAATGGGTCCTCCACCTTTGCGGAGGTTGGGGGGCGCAGTGAGCCTAAATCTGATCAGGAAGTGGTCGGTCCATGGCAACGGAGAGATAGACAACTCCTCCACACCGCCACCCTGCTCCCATCCCTGGCAGAAAACCAAGTCCAATGTGTGTCCAGCACAGTGGGTGGGGCCAGTTATTTGTTGGGACAGCCCCATGGTTGCCATGGCAGACATGAAGTCCTGAGCTGCTCCTGTGAGGGTTGCCTCGGCATGGATGTTGAAGTCCCCCAGCACAAGAAGCCGTTGGGACTCCACCACCAGGCTCGAGACCACCCCCGCTAGCTCAGGCAGGGAGACTGTAGTGCAGCGAGGTGGACGGTACACTACAAGAATCCCTGTTCTGTCCCGGTCACCCACCCTCAGGTGGACGCATTCGAAGTTTGCGGTCTGCGGGATGGGACTCCTGGTCAGATGGATGGAATCTCTGTAGACCACTGCGACCCCGCCTCCCCGTCCTCCGGCTCTTGGTTGGTGTTGCACGGAGAAACCTGGAGGACAAAGCTGGGAGAGGTTTACGCCCCCCGCTTCATCCAGCCAGGTCTCCGTGATGCACGCCAGATCTGCCCGCTCCTCCAGGATTAAATCCTGGATCCAGGTCGTTTTTCCGTTGACAGATCTGGCGTTCAACAACACCACCTTCAAACCAGAGGGCCCGCTCACCTGGTTACACCAATTTACCTTAGGAGCCCGGTTGGGAGTTGTTAATATGGATAAGCGGTCCGAATTAGGCCGAATTCGAGGTCTCCTTTTCCCGCATCTCCTCCTTCCCACCACGACCTCTATGGGGGCCCCTCGGCTAATGGAACACCTCCCCCCCTCCATGCCGCAATCTAGAGATAAGGTATTACTATCTGCTTTGTTCATTATTTGATTTTCCGAGCCTTGCCAGTAGCCTTTTTCCTCCCCCTCCCCCCTCCTCCCCTCATTTTTATTCACATACTCCAACCCACCTCCTCCTCTGTCCTTTACACTATACAGTAGTAACAGGGATAGTATACAAAGAGGGATGGGGGACCACATGGATTGCAGCAATACAAGATGGTGTCGGATCTTCCGGCCACACCGATAAACCAAATCAAAAGTGCACAAGTCTTAGGTATAACACCGTCAGTAACGATAATTTAGTCAGCAACTATGCGCCATTCGGCGTATTTATAAAGTGCTAGGTCTAAAGATCTAAAGTGCAGTAAATTTCATGCATTGGTTCAACAGTCGCTAAAGTAGTTAAAGTGCGGCACAGAGGGGCAGGGGAGGGGCGAAAGTGCTAGTGCAAAATTGGCGGCAGAGGCAGGCGCCTTAAGTGCTCTCTTACGTAAAGTGCTATAGTTCGTACTTAAATCGTATTATCAACAGATAATAGCCCAGGAATGAACAAGCTGAAAGTATATAATCACCCTCTTATGGGCTGAGATGATGATAAGTTAGCTAGATGCTGTTGTGACCCAGATGGAATTCAAGACGGTTGGAATGAAGCGGATGGGCTTCCGGAGATGTCAACTCAGTAGTGGGGCAACACAGTTGGTCATTTATCTTATTACACACTCTATAGGCACAGTAGCAGCCTAGCCTTATGCAGGCCAGATGGAGGGGCCCAGCTGGAAAGGTCTAATGGAAGGCCCAGCCGGATGAGGCTCCCCGTATTGCAGCACTGCAGCCTACGTGGCAGTCCGGGCAGCACGGTTCTTGAAGTCACTCGAGAGGCAGAGTTACGGCTGAGAGCAGCAGCCCAGCCTATTCCCTGGCGCAGGAAGATGTTTCCGGCCGTGGCTTCTCGGTTCTGGCGGCTCGCCGTTCAACAGGCCACTACATATTATTCATTTATTATTCATTTTATTATTTTATTCATTTTATTATTTATTATTCATATTATTCAGTGGTTCCCAGCCTTTTTTTGACCAGGGAACACTTGACCAGGGACCGCTCTCCAACATTAGTACCAAAAGGGTTATGAATCAGTTTTTGGACAACTTTAGATTTGGTTTGGTTATTTAGGGTGCTGATTCAGAAAATTACATTGGATAGACCACATCGGCTTTAGTTTCCCACAGAAAACCATATTTAATAGACTAGAGCAGGGGTCCTCAAACTAAGGCCCGGGGGCCGGATGCGGCCCTCCAAGGTCGTTTACCCGGCCCTCGCTCAGGGTCAACCTAAGTCTGAAACTGCTTAAAAACACATAACAACAACAACAATCCTATCTCATCAGCCAAAAGCAGACCCACATTTCCCATTGAAATACTAATAAGTTTATATTTGTTAACATTGTACCTCATTTTAATTATTTTATTGTTTTTAAGTGTTTTTTACACTACAAATAAGATATGTGCAGCATGCACAGGAATTCATGTTTTATTTTTCAAATTATAATCCGGCCCTCCAACAGTTTGAGGGACTGTGACCTGGCCCTCTGCTTAAAAAGTTTGTGGACCCCTGGTCTAGAGCCACGGACCTTGTTTTAGGTCTCGCGGCCTACAGGTTGGGAACCACTGATTTAAATGTATAGCATTCCTGTAAATTGAGGTAAATAACAAACTAAATTATGAAATGAGCAAAATAAAATGTAATGTTTAAAAGCTTTCCCACCCTAGTCCCCAATTCATCCTCTGATCTCATAAAAGCCAGCCATGGCCCTTTACTATGATTGCTTCTGGCTACAAGGAGAGTTTCCACTTATACCTTCCATGACCATTGCTGTATTGTCCATGTTGCGTCACAGGATCAGTGTAAAATCTGTAAGTGTATGTCTTGTCCTCCTTCATTTATCTCTAACCTCTAGTGTTTTACTGTAACTCCCATATTACCTTACCCTTGCCTGGGCTGATGAGCTTTTGGTCATTGAAATCCAAAACTCATGGAAAGCCAAGAGTTCCCATCTCTGTGAGACTCCATGTCTCTTCTAGTTATCACCCACTTAGTCTTGATGGTATCATCTGCCATGTAAGTGTCTTAACCTTTTCCTCATGGCCTTTTTGATGCCTCTAGCATGCATAATGCAAAATAAGCACTGCCAACACCATTAACTTATTCTCCAAGACTTCCCATGACAGCAGAGGAGCTCTGAAGTCCTTCTCTTGTACAGGACAGTAGAGTTTTCTTCTTGCTGGTTAACTTGTGGAACATATCTGCTCTTTTTCACATTCTAGGAAGTGCAGATCCAGATGCCTTATGCTTCCCCTCAGAGCCTGAATGATCGTGAGATTATCATTCGAACCTTCAGTGGAGGGAAGTGGAGTGAACTGGGAACCAGAGTGAAGCACAAAGAGAAGGTAAGCCTGGAAGCATAATGTTGGCTGTGCTTGGTTGATGTAGAAAAGAGCTTAGAGAAGAAGGAGGACTAAAGGGAGACAGACCAGAGGTGGATGCTGGCTTTATCCATCCAACCAATCTAGAAAGTATGGGTTTGCTGAAGCCTTGTTCCTGTAACTCAGTATTGGCTTTTTAAGAATTACTCTCTTTGATGGTGCCAGGAAAAAAAATGTTTCCTCTGTACACTTAAGTTGTTGTCATAACTTAGAATCTTTTCACTTTCCTACATCTTCTAACAGATGCATTTGGCCTGCTGCAGTGTTCCCCACTTCTCCTGGTTTGTGGTTGTCTCTCGCCTTGTGGAGAACGAATGCAGAGTCCCTCAGGAGGGGGCACTACTTTTCTCAACAGTGGACCCCAACATCAAAGTGACCTTCCCTCCTGGCGCGACAGAGGAGACGAGGACGGTGAAACTCCAGGTATGAGAGCCATAATGAAAATTAAACCAGCATCTCAGGAACTAAATAAGGCAACAAAGTCACGTTCTTAGGCTGGAAGGCTAGAGATGCAGGATAAGTCTGTTCAGGTCACTGTTTGGGTCATGTGTGCTTGGAAGTTGTAAAGGCAAAAGAAAATGTCCTGAAAAAAATAGTCCTGAGCTGCTGTTTGATCTGAAGAGTCATGACTCAAAGTCCTCACCTTACAAGCTTGTAAATCTAAATTAAAGCTGCTCCACGTCTTCCAGCACTTCACTCTGCTTTAAGAGCGTGAGATAAAGAGTAATTGGTGGGTCTGGTCTTCTTCAGTATCACATGGTGTTTCTTAGAAGATTAAAAAGTACCTATGCTACATTGTTATAGTCATTTGCTATCAATTCAACGATCATGGCTCCAACCTGCAGAATTCCAACATTTGTATTTGGGAGGGAGACATAGAATTTTGTGCTGAGGAGCTCTAGTGCTGTAGTTTAGGGAATTCTACGACCTTCACCAAACTACAAATCCCAGGAACTATATTCGGTGGAGTAATGATTACTAAAGTGGACTCTAACTGAAAGTTTGCAAGATGAGAGTAAAGCAATCCAGAAATGTAATTAGATAATTCAATCTAAATAGTTAGATAAAAAACAAAACAAAACAAAAACACTGGTCCATAATTTAATTTACTAGAGCCATGTGATGTTGGCTTTTTTGGCCATTGAAGAAGGTAATGATAGTCTTTTGGATTGATAGTGCCATTCTATTTGCTTCAGATGTGTTAGATTGAAAGTTCCTGCATTTCCAGGAGTCCAGCACATTTGGAAAAAACCAGGATGGTGAAGCCATTTTGACCACTAAATTGCTAGGATTGGTCAGTGTTTAAATGATTGAACCATGACAGAAAATTATAAGGCCCGCAACCTGGATCCGGTTTCTGAATCCATAAATTATTCCCTGTAGGGACCAAAATATTCAGACCACTGGCTGGAATCTAAAGACCTTCCCTGATTATCATTTTATTGCAGTGCCTCACATTATGTCAGTTTCCTTTTTGTCAGGACATTTGCCACTTAGGCCCCTTCCACACAGCTGAATTAAATCCACATTATCTGCTTTGAACTGGAATTTATGGCAGTGTGGACTCAGATAACCCAGTTCAAAGCAGATGTTGTGGGATTTTCTGCCTTGATATTCTGGATTATATGGCTGTGTGGAAGACCAATTTTGCAAGGAGTTACTGGCTGCTGTGGGATGGAGAGACCTGAAAGTGCCTTGTGCTCCAACTTCTTTCTATTCAGGTGTTGCCAGTGTCCACAGAAGAGCTCCAAGAGATCACAGAAGACCATGAAACGGTCTCCAGCCCCCTCCTCTTCCTCTCCCAGAATTCCCCTGCGGACTTCCTCCAGCCTGTTAAAATTCAGCTCCCGCTGCCATCAGGGGTCACAGGTCAGTTTGCTCCCGGAACCTGGGCAGCAAATAGAAAAATGTTGTGATAGAAACATGTTGTCATATGAATCTCACAACACAATTTAATGAACAAGACATCAGTACGATGAAATGCGCATTTGAGTTGTAGAATACAATGCCTGTTTGAGTAATCATGTGATCTTGAGAGGAAATTGACATAAGCCCTTAAAGAGCATCATTGCGCAAGTAGGTGCCGTATAGCTTTGACCCGCAGAGTAATCTTGGTGTTTACATATAGTCAAACAACCCCAGCCCTTCCTGAATATCACATACCCTATTAATAATATACTAGAAACAGAACCTCACCCACACTGATGCAGTTATGAGCTGGAAAGGGTTCATCCTCAAGGCTGGCAGATAAGAGCATCTTCCCATCTATCCTCAGGTCTAACCTTGGACCGTTCCAGAGTCCATCTGTTACATGGGGACATAAATGCTCAGAATTGGGATGATATCACGGATCAGGTGGTGCTGGAGTTCACCCATCTTTATGCTTTGTTTGAAGTCACACACTTCTCCTGGTAAGTTGAACCATCAGAGCATGACCAATCCTCAGAAGTGTATATGGGACTGTGCGTCCCCTGATGTTTTTCAAGCTAAGCAGCCCCAAACATTGTAGGATTTCTTTGTAGATCTGTTCCTCCGGCACCTTGATTATTTATCTGGCTTAGTGTCTTTTGTAGCCAGTGCTTCCTGTTAGAAGAAGGAGGAGTTGGAAAGTACTGTGTTGTTGGGTGTTCTTTTACCTTAAGTGGCCCTTTATGCCTATTTTTCCAGTCTATGGTGGGAATCATTAGCCTGGGAGTTGGGCCTAAGACTGCACATCTAATTCAGTTGTTACTAATTTCATTTCAATTCATTTTGTTCCCCTTTTGTTTCTCTTTCTTAAAAATACCAGATCCCCTGTTAATTGTAAAGCTGATTTGGTCAGACTAGCAGAATGTGAAATTATTGGGTTGCTGTGAGTTTTCTGGCCTGTATGGCTAAGTTCCAGAAGCATTCTCTCCTGACATTTCAACCACATCTATGGCAGGCATCCTCAGAGGTGTGAGGTCTGTTGGAAACTAGGCAAGTGGGGTTTATATATCTGTGGAATGTCCTGGGTGGAAGAAAGAACTCTTGTCTGCTTGAGGCAAGTGTGAATGTTGCAATTGGCCACCTTGATTAGCATTGAATGGCCTTGCAGCTTCTAAGACTGGTTGAAACTTCACTTGCCTAGTTGCCACTTTTCAACAACCTCTGAGGATGCCTGCCATATATGTGGATAAAACGTCAGGAGAGAATGCTTTTGGAACATGGCCATTCAACCCGGAAAACTCACAGGAACCCAGTGATTCCAGCCATGAAAACCTTCAATAACACATTGTGGAATTATTATTTGGAGGCTGCTTGTGGTAAAAGAGCCGTATGTGTGCTACACGATTAGATACTTCAGTCCCATTATTTGCTTAATTTCTATTTAAATGGGTTTCAGTATCACAGTAAATATGTGAATTGAATTGAAGCAGATGTGCATTTCATCCCATCACAGACATGCTTATTCCCTCATAATTCACTAATTATGGAACTTAAGTTGTGGCTCTTGGTCCTTGCACCTAAGTGGTGACAATTGGTATTGTTTATAAGTTGTATCTTGTGCAAAGATTAGATTCCTTTCCATTTCTTTCAATAAATTAATGCATTTGCGCTAATTTTTTAATATATGATGGCATGGGTATGTCCCTGTGTTCTTGACATTTAGGAACATGCTTGACACACTTCTACCCCTCATATTTTCAGATGAATAAAAAAGTAGGATCTTTTACTTTGCAAAACTCTGTTTTTTTCATAGGTACTGGTTATGGTGCACCACCAAATCCTATATTGGAGGCATTGCCAGAAAGGTGTATAAAAGACTGCGCATGTACCAAGTAAACTTTATCGCTTTGCAAAGGAAGAAAGACCCAGAACAAGTCCTGCTGCAGTGTGTCCCAAAGCACAAGGTGAAATATTTACTACCCTGATTTTGTGAGAACCGGTGTGCTTCAGTGATTGTGGGCATACAGGTTGTTCTTGGAATTAGTTTTGGAAGCAGCCAGAAATGTGTATATAAACCGAGATTGCAGTAACAATCTGCAGTAACTTGGGAACAATATGTACATTATATTATGGTTGGTTTTAGAAGAAGTGACAGCAGTAAGTATAAGTGGAAGGAAGAAATAAAGACAGATTAAATGGATGGGTTTCTGAAATGGCATTCATATAAAATGAGTGAGAGCTGAGTTGTGAAGGAGAAAATACTATTAATTAATTAATTAATTAATTAACACTAGTTAATTAATTAATTAATTAATTAATAACAATAATACACCAATTAGCTACCTGAGATTCCTGCAGCTAAATCTCCAGAAGCAGGGTAGGTAGCATTCTTTGAATATTAGCATTGTGTTTTCTTGGAAGCCTAGGGCCAGTCACTGTAAACTGTGTAATGAGTAACAAGATGAATTGCTGCTGTAAGTTGTCATAGCTCTTCTACTCTTTTGGAACTTTTCACAGGTTGATCCTGTTTTGAAAAAGCTTCAGGACAGATATCGAGGTCCTGAACCATCTGATATGGTGGAGATGCTTGAAGGAGAGCAGTTCTTTGCAGCCTTTGAACGAGGCATCAGCATCGATGCAGGTAAAGTGAAGTAGGACCTACTTGGGGAAGTCATAGGGAGGAGGGAGCAAGCTTGTTTTCCGCTGCCCTGGAGACTAGGACGTGGAACAATGGCTTTGAACTACAGGAAAGGAGATTCCACCTGAACACTAGGAAGAACTTCCTGACTGTGAGAGCTGTTCAGCAGTGGAACTCTCTGCCCCGTCTGGAGTGTGAAGGAAGGTCCTCCTTTTGAGGCTTTTAAGCAGAGGCCGGATGGCCATTTGTTGGGGTGCTTTCAGTGTGACTTTCCTGCTTCTTGGCAGGGGGTTGGATTGGATGGCCCATGAGGTCTTTTCCAACTCTTATGATTTTATGATTTTCTCCTATCCCACTAGTTGTTGGGTAATTTCAAAGAGGCACATTTAAAAATGTAAACCAGCAATAGCAACAGCAGTTTAGCAGATCAGAAGCTTCTTGAGCTAGCAGTAGAGCAAATGAGCTTCAGCAGTTACAGAAACAGAATCAAGCTTTAAAAAGTTTCAGAAGACTTTATTGAAAGAACTACATTTATATATAGGAAAGTTGGGGCCTAGTTATTTAACTTCTTTTCTGGAGACATCTTTTCTCTCTCCATGCTAACTGGAGAAGAACAAAAGGACTCAGGGTCTTGCAACGCGGTCTGGAAAATATGTATTAAAAGGGTGTGTCCCTGAGAAGTATCAGTCTAACAAACAGAAATAGGAGTAGAGAACAGGCAGGCAAAGAGAGCAGTGGGAAGGGCTTTCTCTGCCAGCTAAGTCATCTGCCTATCTAAGTCCTTGATGAGGACTACAAACTTCTGCAGGATGTGGTTAAGTCCAACACTGGTATAGCCTCAAATGTGGGAACCTTCTATGTGGGTTCTTAAATATGCTTTAGTCTTTGCATCACTGCAGTTAGTAGGTAAAGGTAAAGATTTCCCCTGACATTAAGTCTAGTCATGTCCTACTCTGGGGTGGTGCTTGTAAAGATCCCTTACCTTGCCAGCCAGGGTGGCAGGGCCAGGAAAAGTCAGGCTAGGTAGTTTAGCTTGGAAGGCCTGGCAGAGTGCTGCTGGAGCCATTTTAGAGCAGGGAAAAGCTCCCGGTCAGGAGGGGGAGTGGCTGAGGCCTGTGCCAGCCCAGCAACAGCTAGGATTGGTTTAGAGAATAGGGGCGGAGTTAGGCAGAAGGAGGGAAAGAGAGCAGATAGTTTGCCAGTTTTAGATGAGTTTAGAGTTGAGAGCCGTTCTGAGTAGTGAGCAGTTGGAGTTCTGAGAAGAATCTGGGAGTTAGACAGAGAGAGTTGAATTTTAAGAGCAGGGAACTGACAGAAGTGAGAGAACTTTTAGAGAATCTCTAAGGTTTTGGAATAAGGGGAAGGCAGGAAGCCAGAGCTTTACTGAGTTAGAAGAACTAGTAAAGGAGGGTTGTGCCTTAGTGAGCCTTGTAAAGGTTTCACAGATACCTTATTGCCATTTTGTCTTGGGTCTGTATCCCAGGGAATACTGTGTCTAATAGTAGAACAGTGTTTTAAAGAGATTCTCAGATATAAAAGTTATTCTGTCAGAGAGAACTGTTTGATTTTAAGCAACCAAGTTACTGCAACTGCATCAAGATCTTGTACCACTCATTCCAACGAGTTGTTGTTATTCTCAAGTTAAAAATAAACTCTTTTATTCTGTAACCATTCAAGCCTCAGTACCTGCATTCGCTTCTATTTTCTGTAATTTATAATCTTTCAATAAACTCTTTCTTATTGTTTTTTACAAGTCAAGCCTGAGTCAAGTGCCATTTTTGGGTAGAGTCATTTTACTTATTGAGTCAACCTCTCCTGTTTTCCCCTCATAGAAAGCCCTTGTTAATATCCAGCCTTTGATGAAGTAAAACAAGCCTTCTTATTATTTTAAACAGCTTTTTAGTAATCTAATAGCTAGAGGGTTCGTGTTTGCTTTATTTTTATGGTGGCAGCGAAAGTTTTACACAACGTGACCTCCCCTCAAACCCTGTAAAAGCCTCTCTTTTTAAGTTATTATAATTGGTTCTACAGTGGAGGGATTTCTTTGATTGTTTTCCCCCCTGCATTGATAACCCTCGAAGGTCTTTATATTGGGTCTTAGAGGTGGGATATTGGTTTATCACCCATACCTCTAAAGATCCTTATATTGGTTTGCAGCGGTGTGGATTCGTGTAACACCTCAATCCAGGGCATTTTTGTGTAAATCCTGAGGTAAAAGTTTGTCAAAACGTGACACCAAGGATTACCTCAGAGAGAGAACACCTCTAGCACCATTTTACAACACCTTAAGCCATGGCACCACCAAAGACAAAGAAGGGCACCCCTGAAGTTCCAGAGAGAGAAGGGGAAACTACTGCTTCAGTAGTTGAGGGTTCTGTAGTTGAGGGGACTGAGACCCAAGTACCAGAGGGTAGACAAGAACAGATAGCTACCTCTTTGGCCATTGAAAAGCTTAGGCTGGAAATGAAGTTGAGAGAACTTGAGTTTCAGGCTGAAAGGGAAAGAGAAAAGAGACAAGCTGAAGAAAGAGAGAGGGAAAGAATGATTGAATTGGAAAGAGAAAAGATTCAAGCTGAAGAGAGGCAGAGAGAAAGAATGGCTGAGGTAGAAAGGGAAAGGGAGCGTTTAAAACATGAGGAGAGAATGGCGGAACTACAATTAAGAGAACATGAGAGAACTCCTAACTTAAGCCAACAACAAGACTCTAACATGCAAAGGT